TGAACGGTAACATCTGTCACTATTAACAGTGAAAAGCTAAAAGCACACTTATGCACTTGGACTTATTTTATTAAACTCTTGAATAAGATTTGGTTATAACTGTTGATGTTATGTGCCTGTAGATGTGACACAAACTATTGCTTTCCAGAAAAATCTTGTAAAAGACCAGGACAAAATTCACGTTTTAAACTTTAATGATAACAGACCACTTTGCATTACTTATAACTCCTGTTTAAAATGTTCATGTGGCAAAGATATTTATCAAACTCATGGAAATTTAAGGTATTCTATAGAGTTTGTACAATGTTATCTGACTCTCAAGATATGAATGAAAGGCAGAATTGTGTTTTTAGAGTTGTTCACGTCTGCCTGAGTGCCTTATATTTGGTTACATTGCCATTTGAAAAATAAAGGTAATTGTGACAATGAAAACTGTTTTATAACAGTGTGTATTTTCATGTAACTTTTGTGGTTAAAAAAATGTCAGAAGAAACTATTGACCCCCGGGCATCTTCGCTTTATCAAATCTGGCCCTCTTTGCAAAAGACACCCCTGATATAGTCCAAACTGGACTGGATTTAAGGGGTCAAGAGAAATTAAGCAAGAAGAAAGAAAAGGAAGGTAGGAAGAAGGAAGTCAACTTAAAACAAGTCAGTATGTTATCTTTAGTCTTTTTTTTTTAGCATATCACACAAGCAACACACACGTGCGAATATACTGACCGACTTCTTTAGTGCAGATAATAAAGCACCGAATTAGGTAACACTTTATAATGAGTACACACTATTAAGCATTAGTTAAGCATGAATAAATACTGAATTCATCATTTATAACGTATGAATACACATTAGTATGTAGTTTATAAACACAGTTAAAAATGTTTTATTCATCATTGATAAGCGCATTAGTTATGGATTAGTAAATACTGAATTCATCATTTATAAAGCATGTTTCTGCTGTAAATAGTCATTACTATGTAGTTTATAATCACAGTTATAAATGTTTTACACTTCATTGTACTGTACATTTCTGCATACACTTGCACATCCACTATTCAGACATGTATTAATGATTAGTGACTGTGTTAGCAGATGTTCTATAAAAACTCACAACAAGTTCATTTTCTAATGATGTCCCATAAACAGTTATTAATGCAGGAATTCATGAATTGAGGCAGTTACAAAGCACTTACTACTCGTTAATTAAGTATTTTGCACGAGCTTATCTAAAGTGAGCACTATCTATGGCTTATTAAGCATTTACAAATGAGATATAAAGGCTGACAATGCCTCGAGACTCACAAAATGTTCAGTTATCTTAACAGACGAAGGAGAGACACAACACAAAGGGATATAGAACACATTGTATTGATATTTATTGCAACTTCCCAACATAATGTGTGCTACCAAACAAAGACACATACTCACCACTAGTGCCGCTGACGGCCGCCGACTCCAATGTGCTTCTCCATGCTCCCCTTGGCTCCACTGTCAGAAACTTCTGAGAGTTACGTACGTAAATATGACGTAACATCCCGCCTCCCACCGTCATCACGTTGATGACGTGCTGAGAGCGGGACTGCAAGCTCAACGTACACGTCCCAAACAGATAAGATCACAACAATAGCATGTCTTCATAAACCACCCTTGTTCGTCTTCATACAATATGTTGGGAAGTTGCAGTAAATATCAATACAATATGTTCTATATCCCTTTGTGTTGTGTCTCTCCTTCGTCTGTTAAGATAACTGAACATTTTGTGAGTCTTGAGGCATTGTCAGCCTTTATATCTCATTTGTAAATGCTTAATAAGCCATAGATAGTGCTCACTTTAGATGAGCTCGTGCAAAATACTTAATTAACGAGTAGTAAGTGCTTTGTAACTGCCTCAATTCATGAATTCCTGCATTAATAACTGTTTATAGGCCATCATTAGAAAATGAATTTGTTGTGAGTTTTATAGAACATCTGCTAACACAGTCACTAATCATTAATACATGTCTGAATAGTGGATGTGCAAGTGCATGCAGAAATGTACAGTACAATGAAGAGTAAAACATTTATAACTGTGATTATAAACCACATAGTAATGACTATTTACAGCAGAATCAGGCTTTATAAATGATGAATTCAGTATTTACTAATCCATAACTGATGTGCTTATCAATGATGAATAAAATTTTTTTAACTGTGTTTATAAACTACATACTAATGTGTATTCATACGTTATAAATGATGATTTTATTATTTATTCATGCTTAACTAATGCTTAATAGTGTGTACTCATTATAAAGTGTTACCCAGAAGGGTAAGAGGGATTCAGCAGAAACATCTTGAATAAATGCAGAACATTATCTTGCTGAATACTGTAATGATTTTACTGGAATTGTAGTCCCTGTAGTAAAGTTTTGTGCGTTCATGTGATGCTTGATAAACATTATAGCATTATATTATAACATTATTATATAGAAATATATATATATATATATTATTATATATTATACATCTTGACATTAAGATATTTAGTTAGTTAAGGATTTCATAAAATGTATGACAACTTTTATGGGTCCAAACACCATTATTTCGGACAAAATTGTGTTATGTAAATATTATTTCACACATTTTTTATAATTTATATGATGTTTTCATCTAAATGCACCTGTCCCTAACTTCCTTTTATTGTAGTCCTTTCTATAACACTGAACATAATGCCATAGTATTTTTCAAAACCAAACAAACCTAGTTTCTATGGAAACAGAAGTTCGCAAGTGAGCACATGGATGACAGGTTGGGCCACCCACACAATGTGACCCTCAAGATCAATAAAAACAAGGTCAAAATCTGTTCTTCTGAAGTACTTATTGTGTGTCCTTACCGCAGCACTTAGTAATAGTGTATTTTGAACTACATTTTAAAAATAAATTAATATGACTATTGAAAATTACATATATTAGGTGCTAAGAGTCAAAGCTTATGTAGCAGACCTTGCTAGCGGCTATTTATCTGGGATATGTCATTTCTACAACATTTCTTTATGGCAGTAGCAAAAAACCTAATGAGATGGTTCAAATCAAACTGAGGAAGTTTTTTGAAGATATGAAAGATATTTGATTTGAGTAGAAGCAACTTAAGTATCTATTGTTGAGGTAGCTTGGAGTTAATTGAAGTTAACTGTTAATTGTAACAATTCAGTTAATTGATGTGACATGCATATGCAGCATTTCTCCGAACTTATTCAAAATGTGTGAGGAGAATTTATCTGAATAAATTCACTTAAATGCATAAAAACATGGTGATTTACTCAGCTTTTCTAAAGCAAATTATTACATCATTGTCACAATAGCTGACATGCGCTAAAAACAACTTCACTGATTATCAAATTGGTTGCACTACATGCAACATTACCCTTTCATACACATTCACACAGTGATAGCAAAGCCCATCGCACGGAAACTAACTTATTCATGCTCATTCATTCATCACATACACACCAATGACACAGCGATTTGGAGTTTTGGGCTTTTTCAGTATCTTGCTCAAGGATACTTCGACATGCAGCCAGAGGAACGGGGATCCAACCACAACCTCCGATTAGTGGTCAACATGTCCTACCTCTGAGCCACAACCACCCTTGTGTTTATCAACTAACTGTTCATGTTCATGTTCATCAATCAAGTGTTATTCACTTCACCTGTCAGTAGTCATAATGTTATGGCTGATCGGTGTTAGTGCACTCAAAACATTGAATTGCTTCAACAATTAATTTTTGAGTTGGGTTTATTTATGTGAATGAGTGACTCCCCTTTTTTTTTTTTTTAAGGATTAATTTATTTATGATATGTTACTTCTTTTATTAGGATGTGTTGTCAGGTTTTACAGTGTAGGTATATAGACCTTGTGTCACAATAGAGACAAATTCAAGGCGAGTTATATGTAAAAAATAAAAAATAAACATGATCCGACAATATGCAATTTTGCGTAGTTTATATATATTATAGTGGTATAGTGGTGATGGTCAAAATTAAAATTCATAGAGGTTGAAACACCCAATAACAGTACTGTCATGCCTTTTTTTGTTTGTTTAAAGGTTAACCTTTTTAACCTTCACAAAATGTAAAATGAATTGTAGTAATGCATGGTAGTGTCAATAGATGAGTATTAGATATTGGGAGTGTCTTGAGAGTCAAAAGATGACATTTTTCAAAGCCAGAAATCTCAGCAGTCAGCCAAATAATTAAAAAGCTGGTAAGTATTGATCAGCAACCCAGTCAACATACCCAGATACCTTATGGTCATCTGGGGCAGTAAAAATCCTAATTGTCACCTCTGTAAGATGGAAGGATAAAAAACAACCCAAAGGAGGACTGAAGGCCGAGTCGAAAAGTCGACCTTCACCGTAATTCTCCCTCAGCCTCTCACTGCCTAAGATCTGGGCCAACCAGGTGGACTGTGAGGGCTTTTGTCCAGAAATTGAATGAGAAATGATTACAGTGATAAGCTCAACACCAGTGGGCTGCAAAATCACTATGTGCCAGGCTCCCCCACTCTCAATCACAACTCACATTTTAGCAAGGACTCCAAAAACGTGTGCTCTGAATCAAAAGAATTCAATGCAATTTCAGGCACTAAGATATGGGGACAGCAGCAGAACTGGAGGACCACAGAGTGCCTTTGATTGCAACATGCACACTGAATGTGTCAAAGTGATGGTTACTGGAATACACTGACCAGAGAGTAATCTTAGATAGCGCATTTGATACTGTAGTATTTGTTTAGCTAAACTTGTTCTAAATCAACAGAACTACAATTCTGATTACATTATTCCTCTCTTGTTTTAATTAAATGAGAATTTTCTTGGTTGTGAGAATGTTGTATTGAATCCAGGATTACTTAGGCAATGTCATCATAGAAATAACACAGCTGGTATAAGACTGGTTCATTGCCTTTAAGCAGCATTGTTGACAGTATCTGTTTATCTAGATAGATGAAGCCTTGATATACCTTGGAGGCCAGTGCTTCAGCACTTTCTCTGCATGTCCTCTCGATCTCCAGGTTCTCCTGAATGGCACTGACCTCTTCAAAGACCATCTGAGAAACTAAGAAAAAGACAAAGACACAAAATGATACAACATATTAGATCTATTTTATGACTTGTGTGTAATTTTGGGCTGTTACAGAGGATGGTTGACAATTGTGAGAATAATGTAGTTCAATTCAATTCGGTTTTATTTGTACAGCTTCCTCCTTGTAAAGTTATATACAGATACAACAATTCCCACCATGAGCAAATACTTGGCGACAGTGGCAAGGAAAACCTTGCATATGTGCTATTACCACAAGCCTGCTGACCGGATCCAGGAGACAGACACGCCTTAGCATGACGCTTCCTGTCTGTGCAAGGGGCGTTGCTTGACAGACATCATACACACGTCAGTGTGTTTTAGCCTTAAGATCTTAGGATACTTTGTTTTTGAGAATTGATACAATATCACAAAACATAACTCAATACTCAAGTATATCATTATTTTCTTACACCCCTTTTGTTACTGTTGACAACTGGCAAAGCACAAACTAATAGACTGACGAAGAAAAGAAAATTAAGCATGTTCATCTTACAATTTGTGCCCCTAGCAAAGAAGCCCACTAGTCAGTAGCCTTCGCTGATGTGACAATGTTAACGAAATATGAAAGGCAGCATTCAAAATTCTACTGAATGACTGCATTCATGTCAATACAAACGTAAAAAAGTCAACTCATCGCTATTCAACCTGATCAAAATGCCATCAAGGAAACAAAGAACATTATTAGGATTTTCTAAATGAGTGTAACTTCTCATTTCATTGCGCAGTTAATTGACATAAGAGTGCTGTAACACTTGACACTGAAGTATATTTCTCCTTGCTATTGTGTCTGCCATGTGAGTAGCCTCAATGGCGAGTGACCTGTGTGCATCATTATGGTATGAATTCAAAAGGAAGTGAACTTAAGGTTGTTACCAATATACCTTTTATTCAGATAATTTTCCCTACCTTTTTATTTTCATCAGCCCGAACCAATGTGTACTGAGTATAGACTGAATACATGCAGGAAACAACTTCAGACTATAAATAATAGTTTAGAGTGTATGTGGGCTTTTTATTAGGAATCATACATGTAATGTTGCACTTAACCCAGGGCGAATATAAAAATCTGCCTTTAAGACTTAATTCTTATCATAAGAAGAGAGATACACTGTATTTTAATTGATTTAACACTGAAGTCTGTTAAATCAAGTGAATTGAGGCATTGGATGTAATTAATCCTAGTCTTCTGTGTCATCAGATTAGTGAAGTGCACTGAAAGTACAATATGTAATTTCTGCTGCTAGGGGAGAAATTGCTAGTAGCACAATCAGATTTCTTCAGTGTTCATGGTTCAGGAGGTTTCTACCAGGAGCCGAATTATCCACAGGTCTCCTCCTCTCCAAAACAAATGCACCCGCTGAAAAAAATGATAAAAACACAGAATAAAGCAGTTCCACCTTAAAAATCACTGCTTCTCCCATGCTGTTGGACAGACAAAGGACGTCCCGGAGGGGTTGCAAGCCGAGCTGCTGCTAACTTTAGCTCAGCTTGTTTCTCTGATAACTTAAGATCCAGACGTCCGATGACTAAAATCCTTCTGGCAGACAACCACAACGCTGATGCATGCACAAAGATGATATGACGCCATTGACAGGTGACCGGTGAAACGCAGCATTACCTGAATAAATTAACAGATTTCTCTAAGTTTGAACAAAACTGAGCTATATTGAAATGGTTGCAATCTGTAACTTCGCCAGTAGATATCAATCTTACACACAGGTCTTTCAAGGTCTGTTTCTTTTGGAGCTTTCGACCGAATCACATTTTATTAGCTGTTGGAGTTATAAAAGTGTTCCAAATAGTGGAATGTGTGAACATCTACAGTTTCATGACAACTGAGAAAGCAACAGAAGACCATGTGATACAGTCAAAAGCTTGAACTGTGGAAACTGCTGTTTCCAAGGACAAGTATGAACTGTCAAGCTTAAATCTACTGCTTGCTTAAGTTCAAACTGAGATCACTTTAAAATCCTGTTATGGTTGACATGTTAAGCTCGATGCTTCACAGACTCTAAGGTGACAAAAAATGTGCCATGCGCTATGAGAGCGGTCCAGAATTTATGATCCTATGCAGACACCAAACAACCACCTCCATGTTCATTTCAAGTATGTCAGGGCCTTTTGCAAACAAATGATTATTGATACATCCAGCAGACGTTCATTGACTTGATGAATCTAAGTCCAATATTCACTCTCCTTTTAGCTCTTTTCTGGTCTCCACCAACTCCTGAGAACAATATCTGGATGTTCAGCTGTAAAACACTCCACGTGTTGTTGTTGTTCACCACCTAGTTGCTGACTTTGTCTGACTCGAAAACCAAAACAATGAACTAAAAGAGGCTAAAAAGCTTCATAGAGCTGAGGTGATAATTCTCTGTGAAGTCATTATGAGCAACACCTTTTATATTACACACATTTGCCCAATTGTTGATATGAGAAATATTGATTATTATAGCTTTAAATAACCTAGGTAGTTGAAAGAAATCAGGTAAAATTCCTAATCACAAACCGTAATGTTGTTTAGGCTGCAATCACACCTCAGTACAAAAAGAACGCCCCTAAAGAATTCCCCACCACTTATCTAATTAAACATTGTGGTTGAGCGAGGAACAAATTAAGCATTAGTGCCATTGCTGTGGGCAATTCCTTCCCCCAGTGACACCTAATTAAGAACTTGATGAACGCCAGCGCCGGGCGATATCCGCGTTCCTCTGGCGCCCTCCACATCAGTCATTCAATAGCACTTAGCTGCCAGTTTTCATCCTCGGCCTCTTCTCCGTTTCTCTACGCCTGTCTCCATAATGCCGTGGCCACACTCAGCAACCTACGAAAGGACGCCTTGAACTAAATGACATGTTAATTATAATTACTGGTAGCCATGGTAAATAAACAGCAGTGGAAGTGTTGAAAGTGTATGAGCACGAGTCGACGGGGGGCTCTGACACGTCAGAATTGGCAGTCTTAATTGTAAGTTTCGGCCTCCCCATCATCACTCCATCTTTTTTCTCCCCTCTTTTTTGTGCCTGTCTTTTTTCATCCTCCTCTCAGGAAAGACAGTGATTACCCCTGTGCCGACGTGCTGCATAATGGTATCAGCGCCGCCAACGGAGCAGTGAATTAAATTGTATCTGCAGCCGCTGTGAAGCCTTGATGAGGGGGGCAGATGCCTTTGTGGTGTTATCATTATAACACAATGGTCATGTTGTCATCAACCTTGCCATCGGCAATTGAAAAGGCATGATTGTGTGTTGGGGGCTTTTTCTCCCATCCTCCCACTACCCCCTCCACCCCAACACCCACCATACCCTGCCGCCCCATCCCCAGCCGTTTCGTTGTGAATAGGAGCAATTTTCTAAGAGCTATGAAATCACGTAATAGGTCCTAATATGCAGCTGCTTGGCACAGTGAGGCAGCGTCTATTAACACGGAAGTCAAACACAATATGTGTTTTGGCTGGAGAATGGTTGAATACAGGCCAGATTTATTCAGATGAAAATCCACACAACTGTCACCGTTACAAAGACAAACTATTTGCTCTATCTTTTGACATGTGGTGCCCTATTTCAAAATCTGTCTTCACTAAAGTGGTCATAGCAAAGCATTCAACCTGTAAGAAAAATCATTTCGGAAAATTGAATGGTAGGCCAAACCATTTGAAACATATTTGTAGTGTTTGGAAACAGATTTGTGATAAAAGCTTGAGCAGCGACAGTGCTATTCCAGTTCCATTATCTGTGGCCTGGTTCATAGATTTATACAGTTGTGATCATTCTCAAAACAACAAAACACATGTTCTCTTATCAATTCATATGTTGTCACAATTTAGATCATATTGGTATTGGTAGGCAGATGTGTTGCATCTGATACATCTTCTTGACAATGTACTGTATGCTCCTGAATTTCCTAGTGCCCTTTCATAAACTAACATTCAAGGTTAATTCACTTCACATGGAAGTGTCTGATTGCTTTAATTCTGATTATGTTACAGCAGGCTAGTATAAATTAAAAACTCAAGCTGGATTTATATCACTTTTTAGGCTTGTCTATTATCTTGGCATTTGATCAGTTTTTAAATGAAAATTTAAAATGTTGAGATAAAAATGCTTTTAGTGTCATACTTAATGGCAGAGGAAAATAAAACCAATAATAAGGTATTAATAACAGACATTGTGTATAATTTTGTTTAATTCAGAAGAACATTCTATATCAAAAACTACAAATTCAGCTAAGTGGTCAGTTTTTGATGATACAGTCTGTATCAACACCATGTTACACCATTGGTAGGTTGAGTGTTAGAGTTTTCCCATCACTGTTGGGCAGTGAGGTATTACTAGTAATATTACACTAACAATATTACAGTTACCCCACAAAACAATAATTAGTCACAACCTTACTTTTGTTGTCACCTCCTACTGATTTAAATTCAATCATTTTAACTCGATTTGTCCCTAAAAGACAATGTCAAATTATTGGACTTCACTAAAACGTATATATCAATAATCATTATTGTGATTAATATATAAATCAAATAGACAGCATAGACCTCTGACCTTTATCTACAGCATTCCATATAACAATATCATTGTTGTTACTATTATTAGAATCAAATAAACAGCATAGGACCTGTATACAGCACTGACCTCTGTGCTGTATAGGGTTAGGGTCCTGTCCTCTGTAAGTTAGTATTATTTTGGAGCTATTGTCGGTAGAACTGTATGAAATGTTACACACACATGCAATGTGGCTTCATGTACAACATTCCAAAAATCAGCATTGAAGCCCGTTAATCAGACCAAGCCTTCAAGAGTTTGGCAACTAATTACAGACAAACAATATTTGATGCCCCATTGATGTCTTGTTCATGAGTTATTAGCCAAAATGTAAATATGCTTAATGATGACCACATGGTGGCGCTATTGTTCTTAAGAAAATCATACATCACTGTTGTCTGCGTGTATTGGTAGCATTTGAAT